TCACCACATGCCTTCAGTGGAACTCCAAGCAAACATAAGCCCGTGGCCGTTCGCGCAGTGGGGCCTAGACTTGCTGGGCCCCTTCCCTACAGCAAAAGGAAAGCGCAAGTACATAATTGTCGCAGTCGATTATTTCACGAAGTGGGTAGAGGCCGAACCACTCGCGCTCATAACGGCTCAACAAGTACTGCGCTTCATAAAAAACAACATATTGGCGCGCTTCGGCGTCCCTCAGTCGCTAGTGTTCGACCACGGCAAGCAGTTCGACTGCGCGGAAGTCATAGATTTCTGCGACCAACTGAACATTATAGCGCGATTTGCATCAGTCGCCTACCCCCAAGCAAACGGCCAAGCCGAGGCCACGAATAAATCCATCTTGCATGGACTCCATACGCGCCTGGGTGAGGCTAAAGGAAGCTGGGCCGAAGAGCTCCACAGCGTCCTATGGGCGCACCGGACCACGTACAAAACGTCGACGGGCGATTCGCCCTTCGCTCTGACATATGGCACGGAGGCAGTGATACCCATAGAAACACAGATACCATCTTTCAGACTGGCGCATTACGACGAAGCCGAGAATTCCGCGGCGCGTATAACAGACCTGGACCTCACTCAAGAAAGGCGCGACACCGCCGCCGTACGACTTGCCGCGGGTAAGGCACAAGTTGCACGTCATTACAACAAGAAACTGCGCCCGCACAACCTGAAACAGAACGAGTTCGTGCTAAGGCGAAACTTTCGCCCAGACCAAAAGCACGGGAAACTCGCGCCAAACTGGGAAGGGCCTTACCGCGTACGCGAAGTGGTGGGGGCAAACACGTTCAAACTCGAAGAAATCAGTGGCAAAAAGATCCCAAGAACGTGGAACGCCCAAAACCTACGCCGATATCGGCCAGCAGCGCCAGAGGAGGCACACTATAATTTTGGGCATCTCGATGCGCGGTAACCCCGTGATGTAACCGTGTTTCGCAATAGAACACATTATAATTTTGGGCATCTCGATGCGCGGTAACCCCGTGATGTAACCGTGTTTCGCAATAGAACACATTATAATTTTGGGCATCTCGATGCGCGGTAACCCCGTGATGTAACCGTGTTTCGCAATAGAACACATTATAATTTTGGGCATCTCGATGCGCGGTAACCCCGTGACGTAACCGTGTCTCGCAATAGAGCACATTATAACCTAGGGCACCTCGATGCGCGGTAACCCCGTGATGTAACCTTGCCGCGTCAAGTATCACACCATAATGCCGGGGATCTCGATGAACGGTAAACCACATAATAATAAATAAAACCACACAAGGCGCGACAACGTGAGAGAAAAAGGCCATTAAAACAAAAAGAGAAGAAGAAGATTAGACAACAATAACATCATCTGGGCTAGTCCCCGCCTCTCCCTCAGGCGCATCCTCGGTCTCGCTCTCACTGTCGTCAGAGAAAGAACGCTTCTCATGAAAGAACTGCTTCACATGGCGCAACATAGCAGGAGTGTTCCACCGCATCCCCGGATTCTCTGGTCGCGCCTTCTTGCGCACGGCTATGACGGTCTTCGACATACAGTCTGCGAGAACCCTGCTAAAAGCCTCAGACGAGCGGTATAACTTCACAGCGCCCTTAGTAGCTTCTATCACGGCCGCGCTCTTCTCTGCCTCTAACTCAGAGCGGAGTTGGGCGATCGCCGCGTCGTGCTCCCCAGCCAACCGCGCCTTCTCTTCCTCAATCTTCTTGTTAGCCTCCTCCCAAACTTCTCGCCTGACCTCATCACAAGCAGCCCTCTTCTCAGCCTCAAGATCTGACTCCAACTTCGATTCCAATTCCCCAACCTTCAGCAGCGCATCATCACACTTCTTCACCACCTCGGAATACCGGCGCTCAGCATCGGCAACCTTCCCCTCCAACTGGGTGGCGCGCCCGGACTCAGTGGTAAGCTGAGCAGTCATGTCGTCCCTCTGCTTATGGGCGAGGAAAGTCGCCAGCAAACCCTATAGGAAACCAGACACCAAGGCATCAGAAGCAATCGAACAGACAAACATAAGAATAAGAGCGATAATATAACCAGCGGATGCGAAAACTCACTGCAAACAGAGCCTGGGACAAGTCCCCAAGCGGATCGCCTCTGTCCATTCGTGAAGGGATCGTCAATGCGGGACCCAAGGCCTTCAGAGCGCTCTTCGCCGCCACGAGGGATTGAGCGGCGCCCGAATGAATTCGTACATCGCGCATAGCTGTGGGAAGAAGGTCGCCGAACCCCGTCATCGCAGGAAGAGTCTGCTGGACGGCACGCCCAGAAGACCCGCTCCCACTGGCGCCACTAACCCCCTTATCCGGTCGGGGCGGCTTCATCTTCCCGCCATCAACAACCTCCACCTCGACAGCCCCTTTCTTCTTACCACCATCGCCCGCGCCATCTTCAACGCGCGCCTTCTTAACCACAACGGCCTCGTCCGCCTGTGAATCCCGTTTCTTACCAGCGCGCGACGTCTTCTTCGGCTTGGGCTCGTCCTCGGTCGTGATCATGCTCGCCACGGTTGCATAGTCGACACCTACAACAGGCATGTGTAAGGATCACATTAATACGGAGAACATAAATCACACAAAAGAAGCAACTAACCATCACGATATAGCTCCGCCAGCAAGGGGGCGCGCACTTCCTTGTCGTACAGATCGATCTTCTCATCCAGGAGCAGTTCATAGTGCGCGTTTAGCCCACTATACCCCCCTACCTCCGACTCAAAGCGCCTAATGTCTCCAACAGACCAAGGAGACATTATCGGCGCGTACTCACTTGACCACTCCTCAGGCACGGGCTTGATATAGAAGAACCTGCTGAACCATGGTTTATCTAGCTTGGGCGAACCATACACATAGCCGCTATTACGTCGATCGCGCCTCTTCACACAGATACCAGTTGCCTTCTCAGGCACACGCATCTTGTAACACTTGCGGAAGAGGCCGTACGACGGCGGGATGTTACACCGCCTACAAGCCAACCGAAACATGCATGTGTGCAGTATGACGGAAGGGGAGAAACGCGCAAGGGAGCACTTGATAACGCGCAAGAGCGCGCACAAAATCGGCTCTAGCGGAAACTTCAACCCCATCCGCCAATACTCGGTATAAACACCTACCCACCCCTCGGGACAGTTCCCAATTCGGCTGCGCGCGCTAGGAACTGCATACTTCCAGTTAGGCGGAAGACCAAGGCCGCGTACAAGTCGTTCCACGTCAGCTCTTCCTAACTCCGACACAATATCGGGTCCGCGCAACAAATTATCAGACGGTACCTTCCCATCTTCAAACATTTCCGACCACTCCACAATAGTGTACTGCGCCCCTATTCCCCCAACCCCGAGCCGACTAACGGCTTCTGTTACGCGTACTAGTGGCGCGGATGGTCCTGGCTCAGCTGGGCGGTCTGACTCAGTCTCGGAGATATCGAGAGAGTTAGACCTCCCCGGCGAGTCACCTCCATCCCGCCGAACCACCAATACCCCGCGGGGGGCATCGGCCAGCCGAGACGTTCCCTCCCCAGTGGGATCGCGCGGCTGATCACCACCACTATGCAACAAATCAACAGCGCCACCCGAGCCAAAGGAGGGAGTATGTGGCAAATCGCCGCCGAACAAAGCCCCATCCAAACCGGATAAATCAAAAGAGGCATCAGATAGATTAAACACGTTACCTTCTTCGTCGAAGTCGACCAGAACCTCAGGTGCCTTCTTTTCCCCAGCCATCGCGCGCGACCCAGAGAAAAAATAACCGAAAGGAAAGAGGTCGAAGACGAAGGAGAAGCAACTGACCGTAATACAAAGAAAAGTAATGCCAGAAGAAGAGTAAAACGGATAGTGGAAGAGATCACCCTTATATACTAACGAAAAAGTAGGCGAGCCGTTAGGTGACGCATCGAAAAACGCGAAATATGTCGATTCGCAATCCCGAACTTGATGGCAATCCGCCTCGGCAAAAACAACTCCGCCGCCAAAAGATTTCAAATTTCAAATAAACCGCCAACGCAAACCACTAAGGGCGGGACACGTGGCACCTAAAGCGGACACAGGCAGTCAGAGGACCCTTCACATCCCAGCACAGCAGAAGCTAGCCCTAGGGCCTATGCCCGCTAGGGGGGCATAAGCCCTTCGCGCCTAAAGTAACGCGCGTGAACGTACGCACGCCACTTTTATTAGCTGCGGCATCGCACGCTTAAAGAGAACGCGCCAGCCGATTTACGCTTAACGCGACGTGGGTGGCGCGCATCTTTAAACGTTCGCTCAACACCAAGACAAGCGGGAACAGGCCCCATGTGCTAGCTCCTGCTGGGGGGCAATTGTTGGGGTTGGAGACTAAGTCGTTGCGCGTACGAGAACTGCGTGCGAACACCTTCGCGCGCACGCGCACAACACAGGTAGCACTGAAGCGTCCGCCAACAGGTCCCATCACCCGTACGGCTCACCTACCCAGACGAAGGTATAAGTACAGCCTTTATGACGGAGAGAAGGAGATCGATCAGAAGGGACAAAACCATTCTCTCTCTAACCTTCTCTCTCTAACTTTCTCTCTCTTTAATCTCCCATTGTAACCTGTTTTGGTACTCCCACGTCAATAAGATAATCCGTTTGGCACGCTGCTTACCTCTCATTCCTCACATCCCCTTATACTTAGTGTCTCCCTCCTACCTCACCAGCGAGACATAAACACTTCTTTAAGATTTAAGGTACAATATTGGGCGGGATAATCCTGGTGTGCAATTTTTACCGATTTAGTGCAAACGGAGAAACAAGTTACATGACAACAAAGTTAATTAAAAAAGGTAACGTCTCAATTAGGCTCTTACGGTGGTGGAGAAGTACTAATTGCCAATTGGACACTTTTCTAGTTTGTGGCTTTCACACTTTTGCCACTCTCGCACCTTGTTTTGACGTATGTCCCTCTTGTAACGTTCACCCTTTGCGAGAAGTATATAGTTTATACTTTGGAGCTCGAATCATAAAGAACACTCACAAATCACAACTCTTGCATATGGTGAAGCTTCCTTGATAACCGTACAAATTCGGAAGAATCCGAGTCCCACCGATCTCTTTGTTTGCACACTCGACAACACCAAACAACCCAAAAGCCTGCAAATTCGTGGCTTCCATGAAAATGACAAAGGAAGGAGAAGGAAGAAGAAAGACGAAAACAGAGGACGTGAGGGCGAAGGAAAACAGAGGAAGGAGAAAAAGAAAAGATCAAAACTTTAAGCAACAATTTCCCTCTAAGCAGTAGTTTAGAGTAGTGGGTTGGTACGGATGTAGTGCTTTTTTGTCAGTCTCAAGTTGAATCCTCTCCTCATTGCACGAACAATAAGGAGGAGGAGGGTTCACTTCACCTCCCCACTTTCTTTCTCCGCCCCCAACATTTTCAGGTTCTCTCTTTTGCTCCTTCCATCGGATTTCGCCATGGCGACGGCGAAGACAACCCTGAAAGCAGGGACAAGGCCGCCGTGGGTGGGTCTCGGGGCGGCGGCCTGGGTCCAAATCGCAGCGGGGAATGCTTACAACTTCCCGCTTTACTCCCATTCCTTGAAATCCGTGCTGGGTTTCAACCAGCAGCAGCTTTCCATGCTTGGAGTGGCCAATGATATCGGCGAGAACGTTGGGGTTATCCCTGGAATCGCCTGCAATTACTTGCCTCCGTGGGTTATTCTCCTCGTCGGATCTTTGGCTTGCTTCTTTGGCTATGGCGTCCTCTGGCTCTCCCTTAGCCGCACCGTTGAGTCCTTGCCCTACTGGGTGGTGAGTTTTCTTGTCTAGTTCTTTTTGTGCGTGTGTAAAGTTATGAACTTTATTGCGGGTGCCCACCACCCGTTTGATGAAATAACTTGTATCTGTGTTCAGAATGTGTAAATTTTGGGATATCAAATTCACGTTCGTGGTGGGGCTTTTGATTTTTTGGTTAGACGGGGTTGCTTATTTTTTAGTATGTGTAGTCTAAACAGTGACATTTTCCAACCTAGAAGCTAATTACAAATCAGACTTTGTGATGCCCATGGTGTAAAGTTCCAAGCTTTACTGTCAATATCGCCTATCCATTTGATGGAAGGACTTGATCTGAAAAGGGTGTTCTTCTTGAGCTCAGGTATTTTGTAAATCGAGATGAAGCTAAGCTAAGATTGTCTACTGTTTTGTTTGATTGACTAAATGGGTTTGTGTAACTTGCATCAATCCTCGATAGGGAGCTTCACTTTATTCTTCTTAGTGAGATGGTCCAACTTGGCAGTTAATAAACTTGCAGATCCAGATCTGCAAAGACCTAATCAAAGCATTAAATTTTGCTAAAATTTACCTTTCTTCACAGCTCTGGCTAGCACTATGCGTTGCTACAAACAGCAGTGCATGGTTAAGCACAGCGGTGCTAGTGACTAACATGAGGAACTTCCCTCTCAGCCGAGGTACAGTCGCTGGCATTCTGAAAGGCTACGGAGGAATCAGTGCAGCGGTATTCACCGAAATCTTCAACATCTTGCTCAATGGATCCTCCTCCAAGCTCCTCATGTTCCTTGCAGTTGGGACTCCTATCCTGTGTTTTGCAGTGATGTACTTTGTGAGAGCTTGTACTCAATCATCTGGTGATGACCCTTCTGAAAATTCTCATTTCCTCTTCATCCAAGGAGCTCTTGTGGTGCTTGGAGTATATGTCCTGGCGAGCACTATACTTGATCACTTGCTGAACCTGAACCCTGTGGTTTGTTACACTATTCTGGCGATACTGTTCGCGCTCCTTCTGGCTCCTCTTGCTGTTCCCATTAAAATGACTGTTGTTCGAATGAGGAGTAGCAAATCAGTGTCCATCGGCGAGCGGGTGTCCTCTACTGACTCCTTGGTGCAAGGGGATGGGAGCTTGGAGAAAGCTGAGCCGTTGCTGATGAAGACGTCTTCGTCCACAACCATAAGTGAGAGCTTTAGGGAATGCTACGATGGATCTGAGGTGGCAATGCTTCTAGCTGAGGGGGAAGGAGCAATAAAGAAGAAGAGGAAGCCTAGAAGGGGGGAGGATTTCAGTTTCAGTGAAGCTGTAGTGAAAGCTGATTTCTGGCTCATATTCTTTGTTTATTTTGTGGGAGTTGGCTCTGGCGTGACCGTGCTCAACAACCTGGCTCAGATAGGGATTGCACAAGGAATGCATGATACCACGATCCTATTGTCTCTCTTCAGCTTCTGCAATTTTGCAGGGCGTCTTGGTGGAGGCGCGATCTCTGAACATTTCGTAAGGTTTGTTAACAGCAACAAAGCAATGCTACGATTGAACATAGTGCTGCTCTTTTTATATTGCGTCCCTAAACTGTAATGGTATAAACTTCCATTTGCAGGACGAGAACAATCCCTCGAACAGTATGGATCACATGTGCTCAAGCACTGATGGTTGCAACATACCTCCTCTATGCATCTGCCATAGACGGAACTCTCTACATAGCAACTGCACTGCTCGGTATCTGCTACGGTGTTCAATTCTCTGTCATGCTCCCGACAGTGTCGGAGCTTTTCGGGCTGAAGCACTTCGGTATCTTCTACAACTTCATTGCACTAGGGAACCCTATCGGCGCATTCCTCTTCTCGGGCCTCCTAGCAGCATACGTGTATGATACCGAGGCAGCCAAGCAGCGCGGATCGAATAGTATGTTGCACAGTTCCGGTTTCTCTTGCTTGGGTCCAGACTGCTTCAGGCTAACCTTCTTGGTTCTAGCTGGTGCCTCTGCCTTCAGCTCCATCGTGAGCTTCGTACTAACCTTGAGGATCAAGCCAGTTTACGAGACCCTTTATGCTGGCGGCTCATTCAGGCTTCCTCGGACTTCTGATGATCAGTAACAGGGGTTGTTTGTTGTTGTAGAAGGAGCGAGTAGGTGGCTGAAGGTCTTATTTTTGGATGACCTAAGGAAGCAGCATATATATGCGTGTAAGATTTGACTATTTGTAACACTGAACCTGGCCCTTGCGCTTTGTTTAGCTAGGATGGCAAACCTTTGTTGTAATCTGGGTGGCTGCATAAACTGTGATGCAGCATCCTTTGAATTTGATGTGTTGTGTTCTAACTATTGGACAACTATGTGTCATTAGACGAATTCGACACACTTTGTGGTTTGCGATTATGAGGGGTGTCTGTCTGGATATGTTGTATTAAGGTAAACGGGGTGCAGGAGCCACACTTTAGCTGTATACCTACTCGATAACTTTATGAGTGTTTGATTCAAAGCATTCATGCAAAATACCAGAGAGGAACTGGAATTAAACTAAGTAGCCAAGTAGTAAAAAGAAGAACAAAAAGAGATGGTCCAGTTTGGACAGCTCAAGAGGCTATGTAGGCTCAAGAGCCACAGACCTGTAATCCTTCCACTACCTGGAGAGGAAGGTATTCGCTGCTCTGTGAAACCAGCCTAGCGCATTACCCTTCGCTCTAGGGACCATGACACCTCCAGTCTTCACAAAGACACCATGGTCCAACTCCTGGTTTGGAACGGGCAAGTCAGATCTGGCAACCAGAGCCAAACCTTTGAGGCTGACCCAGTGTCCCATCTCAGTAACGCCTCCACTTGGATCACAAGCTCTCGTTACTGAGCTCGGCAAAGGCCAACAGTTTCGTAAATGAATATAAACAGCATTTATATCTGTAGTTTCAGGATGTGGTACTGTAAAGTCTGCCATTTTGAAGCTATAGGTCACTTGACATGTCTCTACTTCCTCTCTCTCTCTCTCTCTCTGTGTCGGATAGGGACTGAGAAGGTTATTGTTTTCACCAGCAGAAGCTACCTCAACGGGAAGTGGAATCCAGGTGCAAAAGTATGTGGCTCAATTGCCTGATAGTTTTACTTTCGAATTTGCGCGTCCAAAAGTGATTTAAAGCTTGTAAATTTTCTTTTGAATTGGAAGATCGATAGAAATATTGCATGTTCGGATGGATGCTAAGGGCAATGTGGAAAGGTTCTTTTGTAGATTTGGTAGATAGAAGCAGCATTCTCAGTTTGCTGGCTCAAACACAGTATACTGCTAGCTAGGATTAGTCTGGTAAAACGCAACAAGTTAAGGTACCATTAGAAAATTGATCAATCGGTCTGTTATGAAACCGTTGGATGTTTGTTTCCCGCCCATTCGTGTGTCTCTCTTCTTCTCCCCTGCACTGCACTCCAGCAGGATAAGTTGAAAAACCCGAAGTTTTGGTGACTAGATTGTAATTCTGTTTAATTTAGGGTTTAAATATGACAGTTTCTAAACAAATGGGATCCGATTGTGACCTAACAGACGAGGATATATATATATATATATGTGCGAGGGACGGAGATAACCTAAACCAGAGTTCTATCTCTGCATCTGCCGTGTCAAATCATTGAGAGATCAGATACGGCTGCTTGTTCAAAAAGGTCTCGAATTTTGGAGCAATTCGCCCGCTTCTCTTCACAGTTGTCTCTTTAGCGACGATTCTACGATTGATCAACTGTACCGTCGGCGGTTCCATGACGGCGCCGAAGTCCGGAGGCCATAGCCGTGTCAAAAATTGAGGTATCGAAACTGGATATCTCATCATCCTTGGTGAATTGTTAGATTTTAGTCGATTGAAGTTGATATCTGCGCCGTCCGTAGCTCGGTTTCTATAGTCGCTCCGGGATTGCCTTAGGTTGATTGAATCGATTTAATGGCGAACAGACTCGATGACTTGGAGGACGATGTTGTGGTTGAGATTCTGTCTCGGCTGCCCGTGAGAACCCTATGCCAGCTCAAGTCGGTTTGCAGTCGCTGGAATGCCATAATTTCGAGTCCCTATCTAGTTTCTACCCACCTCAAGAACTACACGAACGGCCCAGCCGGTGATGCCTACCAGACCCTCATGGTCTATGATTCCAACCGTTACTTGAAGCCAAAGATAGTGCAATTTGAATTTGATCCTGATGGTGATGTATCTCAAATCTGTTATCTGGACAGCATAATGCCCATTCTTGCCGGACCCTGCAATGGCGTATATTTGCTGGGCTTTAGGGAGACTGAGGGTCATGTGTTCCTGTGGAATCCAGCAACTGGCTCGTTGTCTAGTAAAATACCATTGCCCAGAACCGCCAATGATTCCTTTGGTGTTGACAGCTTTGGGTTTGGGCTGCATAATACAGTTGCTGATGATTTCAAAATAGTTGTGATTCGGCAAGTCTGCCCCCTTGGCGACTGGCCTTACTACCCTAGAGAGCAACCAAGAACAGGCTGTTGGTCATCTCCTGAGTTTCCTTCACAAGTGATGGTGTACACACTGGGCACTGGTACTTGGAGGGTTTTGGAAGAGTTCCGGCATCCACTCGAGATAGTTGGATTCACTAAGGATTACAGGTACTTGAACGGGTTCTATTTTTGGTTATGTGCACCTCCTGTCGCGGCGCTGGCTTTCGATCTTCGGAGTGATGTTTTCCGTGTGATAGATGACCCCATACCAGTCACCTTTAATGGACAATATGATAAAGGGATGAAGCAACTTTTCCTGTACAAGAATTCGCTTGCCTTATGTATTATGCAGGAGGGGAGTAGTGGTGTTGGTGGATTTGATATGTGGCTACTGAGCGAACAATGGTGCTGGATCAAACATTTAGCTATTGGTCCTTTCATTCCAAAAGATTTGGTGGCGGTTGGATGTTGGAGGAACAAGCAGATTATTGTTCGTACTGTAGATCGGACGGAGGAGCAGAATGACACTAATTTGCTATTGTTCGACCCTGCTACTCAAGGCATGAAAGTTTTAATCCTAGATTGTCTCCCATCCGGAGTCCATTACTATAGAGATAGCTTGGTCAATGTAAGTGGATGAATGAATGTAACTATTGCTGGTGCGTTTAGCTGTGGGTCGGCCTTCTGTGTGTTCTATTTATTGCCGAGTGGGGGACTTAGGTCATTTTGACTTATGATTTGTTCTCGTGAAGGATTATGTAGCCTGTATTGCAATCACTATGTTCTTACTTTATCCGTGTTCATTGAAATTTCGACATGAAGTTAATCAGACTCTGCGGTTCCTTCTGAAGAGAGACCCAATTTAGTCTGTAAGTTTGGGGCTGTCTTCACAGATATGGCTTGTTCTTTGCGTTGCTACTAACAGGCAACAGCAGTGGTTGGTTTAGCACGACGGTGATTGTAACCAACACGAGGAACTTCCATCTCGATCAAGGCAACATCGACATTGTCATCAAAGGATATGGAGGGATCAGTGGAGCAGTGTTCACTGAAACATACCATGTCTTGCTCCACGGTTCGTTCTCCATGCTCCTGATCTTTCTCGCAATTGGGATTCCAGTTTTGTGTACTGCAGTGATGTACTTCGTGAGAGATTGTCCTCAGTCTTCAAGTGATGATCCTTCTGAACATTCCCATTTCCTTTTCGTCCAAGGAGCTCTTATTTAAATCGGCATATACATACAAGCATTCCACTGTGATCAAAGGGGTCGCACTGCTCTGCAATGCTCAACTCTGATGAATGAACTTTTTTCTTGTTGGTCAAGTTTGATCCCTCGAACACTACGGATCACGTCAGCATTCTTTTACAACTTCGTGTGTCTCGGGAGCCCAATTGGTGCATTATTCTTTTTCTTGGGCCTTCTAGCATCGCGTCTTTATGCGTCTCTCTGCTGCGATTCCAACTCTTTCTGTGTCTCTCTGCTGCGTCAATTGCCCTACGGCGGCGGATCGTCCATGGAGCCAGCCATTGAGCAAAACATCTGGACTTTTGCAGCAGCACTCCCGCTTCTCTTCGCTGTTGTCTCTGCGGCGTCGATTCTACGACTTGTCTACCGTAACTTCGTCGGTTTCCTGACGCCATGGAAATCTGGAGGCCATAGCGAGGTATCCACATCTGTAATGGTGAACACACTCGATGACATGGAGGAACATCTAGCTGGTGCCTCTGCCTTCAGCTCCATCGTGAGCTTTGTACTAACCTTGAGGATCAAGCCAGTTTACGAGACCCTTTATGCTGGTGGCTCATTCAGGCTGCCTCGGACTTCTGATGATCAGTAACAGGGGATGTTTGTTGTTGTAGAAGGAGCGAGTAGGTGGCTGAAGGCCTTATTTTTGGATGACCTAAGGAAGCAGCAAATATATGTGTGAGATTTGACTATTTGTAACACTGAACCTGGCCCTTGCGCTTTGTTTAGCTAGGATGGCAAACCTTTGTGTGTAATCTGGGCGGCTGCATAAACTGTGATGCAGCATCCTCTGAATTTGATGTGTTGTGTTCTAACTATTGGACAACTATGAGTCATGACATGAATTTGACACACTTCTGGCATTTTCGATTATGAGGGATGTCTGGATCTGTTGCATTAAGGTAAAGCGGGTGCACAGTTCAGCCGTATACCTACTTAATAATTTCACAGAGTGTTTGATTCAAAGCAGTCATGCAAAATAACAGAGAGGAACTGGAACCAAACTAAGTAACCAAGTAGTGAAAAGAAGAACAAAAACTCAATAAATTCACATAATGTTTGATTTCAAAGCATTCATGCAAAATAACAGAAAGGAACTGGAACTGGAACTAAACTAAGTGACCAAGTAGTGAAAAGAAGAACAAAAAGAGATGGTCCAATTTGGACAGCCCGAGAGGCCATGCAAGCCCTAGAGCCACCAACCCTGCAATCCTTCCACTGCCTAGAGAGGAAGGTGTTCGCTGCTCTGTGGAACCAGCCTAGCGCATTACCCTTCACTCTAGGGACCATGACACCTAAGTCTTCACAAAGACGGATAAGGGATTGAGAAGGTTATTGTCCAGGTGCAAAAGTCTCAAGTGGTTCAATTGCCTGATAGTTTGAATTTGCGCATCCAAAACTGCTTTGAAGCTTGTAATTTTTCTTTAGGTAAATACAATTTAATATCCAAATCTTTTATTTTAAATAATATAATAGCCAAACCTTTTCGAAAACAATCTAATATCCAAGTCGTCAACTTTCCGTTCGTTTTACCGTTAGTTGACACTTCAAAAAAGTTCGAAGTACGACGCTTCATCAATATTCATCGATATCTTCTCTGAAAACCCACCAACATATCGTGGTTCCAAACTCGAGAAGTTCATGACTCCACCATGATGGTATAGAATATTTAAATATTCAGTCATCTGCAATGCCAAAACAAGAAAATAAAGTTGTATTGTGACAATTTCCCTTAAACAAAGGTTTTTTGAAGTGTCAACGAACGGTCAAACGGACGGAAAGTTGACGATTTGGATATTAGATTGTTTTCGAAAAGGTTTGGCTATTATATTATTTAAAATGAAAGGTTTGGATATTAAATTGTATTTACTCATTTTCTTTTGATTCGGAAGATCGATAGAAATATTGCATGTCGGATGGATGCCAAGGGCAATGTGGAAAGGTCCATTTGTAGATGTGGTAGATAGAAGCATTCTTCAGTTTGCTGGCTCAAACACAGGATACTGCTAGCTAGGATTAGTCTGGCGTAAAACACAACAAGTTAAAGTACCATTTGAAAACTAACCAATCAGTCAGTTATGATGCTCGCAACACTAAGAACTTTACTGCAAATGCACAATAGCATAAAATGAGATCTCCAGACCTGACCATTCGGAAGAATAGCGTCACCACGGGTATTCTTCACGCACTGAGGATGATTCTCCACAAGAATCACAGGGTTCTCGAGTTTCGAGTCAAGAACTGCTTCGTGGATGTAGTGTTGCATCAACTCAGAGCACCGATTCACATATGATTCATAGCTGACAGGATATCCACCAGTTCCTTCTGGAAGGGAAGAGGAAGCATGAGTCATTACAATCAAGGTGTTGAACCAAATAGCATTCCCGAAAACGTCCGTCATTAGCTTCAGCAGTGGGAAGTCGCAAGAACCCATGTTGATGAGGTCGAGGCGCTCGACGAATAAAACAATGTCTGGAGGGGATCTCCTGATGAATCTTTTGACAGAGAGCATGATCTTTCGATTTCTTCTAACACTGCTGGTCGATGATGGAGAGAAACCAGGTGTATCTATGAAAGTTACTCTAACCCCATTGAGAGAGCCACTGATCTCTTGTATACGGTCAGTGGCCGGTTGAAATGCACTAGTGATTGTCTTTCTTTCATCCAGTAATGAGTTTATGGTCGCACTCTTCCCAACTCCTGTTTTCCCAAGTACAAGTATTCTCAAGGAGAAGTCCAGTTCAGGTGAGCCGGAAGACTCTTGAGCTGCTGCTATCGCTTTGGCCCTAGTGTTTCTCACTCTGTCTGGTGGCTCAGCTCGAATCGAAGTCGCAATGTGTATCCTGTATAAAACCTTCGCCACAAGGAGATTGTCTGAGGACAAACTGAACCGTTGAAGCAGACGAAAGAGCTTGATTTTGAGATCTTCAATCCTTGCCAAAGGATCCGTCTTTCTTCCCTCAACATAGTGATTGCATGGCTGGGAAGCTGCTTCGACTACTTGCTGGGGAGTAGTGGTATCAGTTCCACTCTCCCGTCTACTCTCAATGGAACAAGGCGCCCCTGAATGCAGTGGCAATGCCTCCGAATTGGTGGTTAAATCTACAAAAGGCAGAAATAATAAGTTCAACTCAGTCCTAAAGGTATACACACATCCAGACCATAATTTGGCACTACATTCAATGGTTACGGTAGCTTAAAACAATCATACAGAGGTGGAGCTTACTGCTGAACATACCATATATCAACCACCACCTATCCCACACAACGACTAATCATGAGTTCGTAGCAAGAGAAGACTAAATGTTGCAGCTCCCCTTTCGAGCTTGAGTTAAAACCCAGATTTCGGGGCGAAACATACAAAGCATCTACCCATCTACAACAACCAGATGGAAATGGATTTTGGCAGGTGATGCAATTAGTAAATTTACCTATGTCATCAGCACGTTGATCCACTGGAGGCGGGCCACTGAAGCCACCAGGTGATAACGAGGCCAGAGATTTGACCAACAGCTGAGGGAAAACCCAATCCATAATTCCCTTCATCTTTCGCACTGAACATCACAATTGAAAGAATCATCAAAAGCTGAAGAACAAAATCGAAGAAAGCGAAAGCCACCGGGGAAAGCAATGATTATGTTCCTTACCCCCAACACTTGAATTACCCGAAACGCGAGACACGAGAAAAAAGCGAAGGAAAAAGAGCACAGCTGTTTTTACTGGTGGCGGGGAATCAGCGGCAGCAGCAGAATCGATATTCTCGCCATTCCTGGAGGAGCGCGTAGAAAAATTACACAAACCCAGTTAAGAGAACTGCAAATCGGAAACTGGTTGCGTCAGTTAAAACTCTTTGTGCGGCGGAACAGGCATAACCTAGCTCGAGAGAAACGCGATGAAGAATAAGTGATGGGGAGATTAGATGGCAGACGGGAAAGGATTGCCGTGGGGTAGACGGGGAGGTGATAAAGCAATGATACTGAATCGGAGATTGGCCGGCGGTTGGTCGGGACTGGAGGAAGATGATGATAACGAGAAGGAGAAAGGAGAGGTGAAGGGGTTTGGTGGATAAGAGAAGGAGGAGTAAGACAAACATGGAGAAGAAGGGATTTTGGGAACGACAGGCGCTAGCATCCACCACACGTGTAGTTTTTGTTCTATTTTTTTGGTCCATAAGGAACTAACACATTAATCACCCAACTTTGATAGTTGACGAATTTTGCTAGTGAAATAATGTGACATGTAGTTTAACCGGTTTCGATCAATCGAAGAAAGTATAAGAAAATTTGTAGTGTCTAAGATAATAGACGCTTATTATGTAAACGAAGCAAATAATGTGACAAGTAATTGGTGCCGACCAACGATTGATCAGGACGAAAAGCTCATAGGGTATTCCTCGTTATAGTTTCCTTCACCGGGTTATTAACCTATCACGCACGAAGGATAATTTCGCTAAATCGAATGTTAAGTTATATAGGGCGGAAAAGCTAATGGTGCAAGAATGAGTTCGATAGTTCGACATGTACAATCATTGATCATATACTGCAACTACAAATCGACACACCTGCATTTGGAACTTATATACAGAAAGCCATCTCTTTCCACTTTACGACGTAACAAGAAGAATTTGATGATTATAGCAGCTATAGGTATCAATTTTGGAGTATTTTTCAACTGTCGCCATATCAACGTTCTATATCGAGTTTACTACTACACTCCCAATGGGGATCCTGATGGTGATACAAAAGGCAACCCAAAAACCAGTAATACATCATCACTATGATCCCACCACCACCACCACCAAAACAATGCTTTCTTCAACCAACAGAATAGAATAGGCAAAGGAAATCGAAGAACGAAATAGTTCGACGCAAAAAAGGAAGCCAATATTCCACGAATCCATTGCTGCAACTGCCATTGTAACCCTAAAACCAATAGTCGAAATCACCAGCAGAACCACCCGGTAGAAGGTGTTCAAGAAGAGAGTCCATTTGCTTGATTATTCTTTTCTGTATGCAGAACGAGCCTTGACCAGACTCTGCACGCTTCAGCAAACTGACGACTGGCGTCGAATGCCTGTCATTGTGACCATGTCGTGCATCGGCATTGCCAGCTGGCTTACTTCCCCGGCATCAAAAACTGGTTCCATGCTTGCCTGGTAGTATATCCAGTATCACGATGGGCATACCTGGGCACTCGCTCTGTAATAAAGCATCTTCTGCACATAAAACATCATGTACCCCTGCGCAGCCCTCACCACATTCTCGTTCACTCTGGTAATCCATGCGTCGTCACATTTATACCACTGATTGCTCAGCCGCAAATACGTGACATAATGACCAGCATCCAGCTTTCCCGAGTGGGTCACCACGGCAAACAGCTCAAATTCCGAGGACATCTCGTTTGCTGCCACGTCATCTCCATCATCTCCTTCGAATGAGAAGACCCGGTTCCCGAATCGACTCCTCAAAATGGAAGAAGATAGATATGGTGCCATGTCCAGCGAGAAAGGGAACTGCAGGTACCGATCGACTTTCCTCGACATTTTTCGAGTGTGAGAGTGCTCGAATCTCTTGATGTGGAAGCAGGAGACCAATGGGAGCTTTCTAATCGACATCTGCTTCAGGGATTCCTGACTCACTTGGCACTGTTGACAGAAGAATTTCTGGTCGGACCCCAATCGTTCGGGTCGGGTGAAGCGGTCCAAACATCCAATCAGGGTAGATGTCGTGGGGATTTGGGTCGAACTGAAGCCGTTTGCTTCACTATTGGAAGATGGATGAGATTTAGCAGATGTCTTTCCATGAGCTGTCACTTGGTGAGGCTCCAAGTCGAGTGAGATGTCCACACATGGGTCATATGTTGTGGATGTGAAACCACAGGCCATGCACATGACATCGGACCGCAAGATGCCGGAAAATACCCTGTGTGCAATACAACAGTCTCCATGTCCTGAAATTCAAAAAATCAAAGACAAGATATGGTTACCGATGTGTGATCAAGATAATATGTTCAGAGAAGTCCCAATATAGCAAGTCTATTGTAGTCCTAGTATGTAACTTGACAAAAATAAAGCAGATAGATGCAAGCAACTACTAGCCTAAAATGAAATCAAACATTATATTTCAGCAATCTCCAAATCATATACTAATGGTCTATTTGTCAAGGACACTTAAATGCTAAAACCAGGGATATGGAGAGTAACTGGCAGAGTAATCAAGCTTAAGGAAATGCCACTGAGCCTATCAAAAAGGGAGACATCCAGAAGAAAGTTAGACTGAAGCTGGAAGACAATAGATAAAAAGAAGAAAAAAAGTTTGGCTGAACCTAATTATCAGGAATACGGGAGAAGATCCTGACAAGAACCGAGCGGGTGAAGGAAAAATCAGACTTACAGGAGCAAAAGCAGGATGACACGATCAAATCTGCAGGTTGGTGAAGACTTAGTCCTAACTCTTGCACTTTCAACTCCTAAGGCAAGTACATAGACCTAATAAACCCCCCAAAGCCTGCAGTTAAAAGTTACCAGTTATTTCTTTATCTTCAAGAGCATTTTCCAGAACAAAATTTAACACAGAGAAGAAGAAAAAAGTGTGAGTTGTCAAAAGCTTAAGATAACTCCAAAGACGTGCAGTTCGGGGGATCTATCGATCATGGCACTAATGCGAACACCAACTCTTCCAAGGCACACATAACTACATGGTTTAGAAGTCAGGAACTTAGACCTCTTACTTGGCTGGGATATCTAATACCTTATAGGCCACCTAATTGTTTCCTCGACTCTAAAGGGACCTCCCATTGGCTGACACTTTCAATCCACAAGTTCGTTGATAATTAGAACATGCAGCAAGTAGCATAGTACAATCTAAAACTTAAGCACACAGATAGAATAGCCAAAAAACCGGGCCACGCATAGCAGGGAGATAGACATCACATTGCAAAATCTTGGATTGTATAAAAGAACTATCTTCCACTAAATGAACTTAAAAGAACATGCACCTTTGACAAAGTACACTGCTAGGCTAGCTGACAGATGCAATGAGTTGGAAAGTGCAAACAGGATAAATTCGTTTCTAAGAAGGCATATCCAATTAACTGAACCAACAGTAGTTGCAAGCACACTTTTTCGGTTTACCTGGACTCTGGGGTTTTCCTCGATCCCTCTCCACATTTTCATGGATTCCATCAAGCATAGAAATGAAAAATTCATGAGCATCCTGCTGATCATAGCTTGCCAAGTTAGACGCATGCTGCCACCAGCTGCAAACCAACAAAAAAAAAAAAAAAAAGACAACCAATCAACGAATCATTCAGTAGAACAACAACAAACCATGATGGAAGTTCCAGACCCAGATCAAGTAAATGGGTACCTGTACAAAAACTTCGCGGGGCTATATGGTTTGCGATCGCCAGAAAAAACAGCGGAAAACATCGCATCCACGTCGCAAGCTAAGCACAGCTTCACACCTTTAATCATCCCATTGCTGTTGTCGCCACCACCATTCCCGCCATTCCTCTTCCCGCCACCACCGACACCGCTGCGATCCGGCCCGTAGTTGCCGCGTTCTTCAGCTGGCAGTAATACCGATTGTGCCGATCACTCAAGAAATAGTCCCTCAACGGCGGAGTATGCAGCAAGGCCTGCAACACCGAGTTCATAAAACAAGTGTTCCCCAGATTGTTCAGCCCTCTAAGCCCTCGAGGCCGATCGATCTCGCAATCCAACACGCTCGATCCATTATCCATCAGCAAACGCTCGCGAACATCGGGAGACCAGGGACGGTAATCTACCCGCCGCCGCTTCCGCATGTTCTCCGGGTTCCCCGACGACTGGACGGTGATCGCGGACTTGAGCGCGGCGGACTGACACAAGACCACGGCGGCATCGAAATCGCGATCGTAGATCTGATCGCGGCAGGCACAGCAGAAAAGCTCGGCTCGATCGACATCGACCGCGATCTCGTGGCCGCCGAGGGGCATCGAGGCGGCGTGAGCGGAGGCATGGGAGGGCCCGCCGGAGGGAGCGTGGCAGAAGACGGCTGCGCACGCGACGCAGGCGTAGAGCCTCGACGGGGAGGAATCGCCGCACGCTGCGCAGCGGGGGACCTCGGAGGGTTCGCGGCGGATCCCGGCCCGGCCGCCGGGAGGTTTGACGCGGAGGCAGTCCTGGAGGGCGCGAAAGGGCTTGGCGCCGTTGCGGGAACGGAAGTCGGCTAGATGAGGGCAGGAAGAAGTGAGGGGAGAAATCTGGCCGTCGATTCGGTGGTGATGGTGGAGGTGGTTGATCGTTGATGACATGGAGGGAAGAGATGGTGGTGGTCGGGCGGTGGAGAGGGAACGGCGGAGGAAACCCTAAATTGGAAGAACATAGGGGGATGTAAGACGGCGGGAAATCAACGGCGGAGATTGTGGGGATAGGAGCAAAGGAGAGTGATGAAGCTTCAAACCTCTTCCTTTATCAGTCCCCTCCGTTTCTTCCTATTTTTCTTTGTTGGTCACTTTACACCATTGCCCTTTCTTGGTCACTTTACCAAGTTTCTTTCACCTACAAAACGGTCCTATCCATTTCGTCAAACTAACAAAATGGTAATTTTGTCGATTTTTTTGTCTAATTTCTTTTTAATTAATTACCATGAACATGTCATATTAACTAGTAAGTTAATTTGAGCTCAACATCTCAATTACATTCCAACTCGAATCAATCCAAAAAGTCTCAAATTACGACATTAGTTATCGATTTGGATTTTCTTCAAATTTCACAAAACAAAACATATATACCCAAACTAAATCCCTACTTGAATGTATCAGACGTCAATATGAAAGTTATTTAGTTGTATAGGATAAAACGTGAATGATTGGAATGTGAAATAGTATATTTGAACAAAATTGACCTCGAGTTTTCATGCATGATCAGTCAGTAAAATTCTATCATCAACAAACCCAATCTGTCCCTGTTGAAACTGTTTTCCGGCGAGAAAACTTGTGTTGAATTGAGATTGATTGCACTTTTGACTTCTTTGGACAATAATTACCAATACACAGCTAACACCTCTTCAAACAAAGTTCGAATGAGCGTGTTTGATTGATGGTTTCTAGGAATGAAAGTCTAAATTAAGTTACTTCTACTCACGGTTGTCAACCCGCGGGTTGACCCGCGGGTCGACCCACTTTGACCCTGACCTGGTGAGAAAAACGGGCCGCACGTACCCGCCGGGCCGACCGTTACAAGGTACCGGGTTGGAGGTCAAATTGTATCATTTTTTTCTTTGGTTTGCGAAATGCACCTATTTTCCAATTTTTCTTTTCGCCTAGCTCAATTTTTGGAATGCTAATTTGAACATTTGAATATTTATGTTATACAAGTGTTTGTAAATTTTCACTATATGTTGGATCTATATACGATATGTTATTTTGGTGTAATATTATATGTTATAACTCATATGTTAGATAATATTTGATATAATTTATGAGGATAAGTACAATATAATGACTTTTTCCATATTTCCGGGTCAAACCGGGCTAAAACGGTTGACCCATTAACCCTTGACCCACTAGCTCGACCGGGTCCGGGTCAACCCGCGGGTTGACAACTTTGACTTCTACTCCTATGGAGGTTTGGTGAGAGCTCCAAACTAAAAGCTACGTCTATGGCTACATTATAGAAAAAAAGATAAAGGATAAACTTGACATGTGTATCAGAATGTTGGTTTTGGGACCTTTTCTCTCTGTCGACCCCTCCTCCTATTTATAGCCACGAGGAGGTAACCGTCGTAGAAACCGCTTCTTGGATAACTGCTACAAAGAACCGCTCCCTCTTCTCCGGACTGGTGGTTACTCCTTCAACCGCCTAGGTGCTTCTCTTGGAACCGCCATGGGTCTTGGATTCTAGCCTGCCTCGCACGACCTTGTTCCAAATCTCGTGCCATGCTACTCTTTTGATAAGCATGTGGTGTCTCACAAAAGGAGGTCGTGGTCCTCTTGCCCCATGACCATGGACTTCTTACTCATGTCCATGGGCCTCTTGGGACTTAGTCACTAGTGATATAATGCTTCACCACCATGTCCTTCTCATACGTGTCCATGGGCACTCTCGTGAGGTGGCATGGACCTCTCAATCATGCACATGGCCCCTCTCGGGAGGCGGCGTGGCCTTCCCAGACTTAGTATTTTTCAATGTGTCTAATGCTTCTTGCTTCGCGTCCATGGCCATCACATGACACGACCATGTACCTCTTAATCATGCATATGACCCTTCTCGCTAGGCGACATGGCCTTCTCAGACTTAGAATATTTTTCAGTCATGCCTAAGCCTATTGTCTCGCGTCTATGGCACTTCTCATGAAGCGGGATGGACCTCCCAGACTTAGAGTATTTTGGGTCATTCGGTCTTGGTCATGAGGCAACATGGCCTCTTCATTCGCGACCATGAACTTCTCAGTCATGTTCGTGACCCTTCCCATGGCACGACATGGTCTTCTCATACTTAGCATTTTCAATCATGCATAGGGCCTCTTGTCTAGCGACCATGCCCCTTCTCGTGAAGCGGCATGACTGACTCGCACGAAACTACACCATAAATTAATCCCGACTAGTGCCCAAGATTTAAACTCTAGCCGGGTGCAGTATAGAGAAAGTATTTAAATTGTCAACCCGGGTCGGTCCATGTACCCCTACTTCAATCGCTTAAGTTGTTATCTAGCAAAACGGTTTTGGATTTTTAAACTAAGAAAACTACAAACTAAACAAGCAAAGAAAAGTAAATAAAGAAAAATTCTAACTAAGGGAGCTTCACCCAGGAGTTGCTTCCCCCTAACTAGCTATCATGACTTGTTAGATTGAATGGAGTCGTGTGGCGTAAGTGGTTGTGAACCGCGGGGGTGAGCAACTAGTGTTCGATTTGTCATGAAATCAATTCACTAGCGATCGATTTTTCACGGGATCGATCCACTCACCAAGACTAGGGGAACCGCTAGGAAGAGCAACTAGTGATCCATTTTTCACGGGATGGATTCGCTAGAGATCGATTTGTCACGGGATCGATCCTCTCACTTAGTCTCTAGTGGTTGCCTAGGCCTCTCCCTCAAACTGGAGTTTGAGCGGTTTAATCACAACCAACCTAGATGCAAACTTGAGTCAAGGAGGACACTCATCTCTAACCTATATAGTAGGCACAAAGTGCCCAAGGAAACCCAAGCTTGTCAAACCTACCTAAAAAGGTGTGGTTTTCCCTAATCTAGGTTAGGCGAGCACACGAGATTTGGAAAGCATAACTAAGCGCAATCACCATGAAACACCTATAATACTCAAATTGATGCAAACTCATACAAAATCATTCAATCTAAACAAGTAATTATAAAGTATTAGTTAGAGCATCTCCATTGGAATTGCATTTAGAATTGCATTATGACATGGGATTCATTTGCAATTGCATTATACAATTGTATTGATGTAGATGACAATTGCATCTTTGCAAGCTTGCATATAATGCAATTATGGAATGCAAGCCACATCATCTTTTTATTATTAAATTATTCATTAATTTTATTATTTGAGTGTTTATGTTTTAATAAGTTAAATTAAAAAAGTTAGTTGCAATTGCAAGTTAATTGCATTGATGTGGTGTAATGCAAGTAAGATGAGTTGGATTGCAAAAAAATGAAGTAACAATAAATAAAAACAAATGCAATTGCAAATACAATTGCATCAATGGAGATGCTCTTAGGGATCTACAACACCCAAGAGAAAAGAGTGAGTTTCTAGAGAGAGATAGGAGAGATTACAAAGCAACCTCAAGATCTTCTTCTTCTTCTAGGCTTGATTCCTAGCTTCCAAACTTGATGAATGCCTTCAATTAAGCTCCAAGATCACTTCCTCTCTCACTAGAACTTCCCTTTGGTGTTTTGGACAAACCCTAGAGAAAAAAGTGTTTCTTCTCCCAAAAACCAGCTCTCCCTTTCTCTCTCCCCGCTGCTATCTTCATATTTGCCCAAAAGTGACTAGTTCACGGACGCGTTGGCCAGTTCATGGCCGTGAACACCTAAACGCGTCCGTGAACTCAGTGTCGTTCAAAATGCACCGCTTCACTCTCCTGGGTTTACGGACAATGTCCCCATTTCACGGTCTTAGAGACCGTGAACTTCCCTGGCGTCAATAACCTCTGAAACCTCGTTGGACTGCTCGATGTTCACCATTTGTGGTCCATGTTCACGGTCTTAGGAGACCGTGAACTACCTTGTCCGACCGTGAACTGCGGTTGTTTCTTGGATGCCTTCACTTCACTGTTACGGGGCAATTGTCACGGACTTCGGACTTTTCTTCGGGGTTTTTTTTTTTTGCACTTTTTGACCTCCAATTATCCCAAAACCCGTTCTCGACCCTTCCACACATGCTAGGACCTTAAATGTATCAAACCAAGCACAACCTAGCGAGAAATATGACGAGGAACGAAGAAATACTAAGCTAAACGAATAAGAAATGAGGGGTAAAATGTGTACATTTGGGCCCGAATCACTGACCTTCTCATACTTAGTAATTTTTATCTTCTCTGATATCCGCTTCTCGTGGCATGATCACGTAAATCTGATAAATTCGCCCACGTTCATGGTCCCTCTCATTGACATGGCACGTGCTCCTAGATTGTAGACGGGCATGGCTCTCTTCGTGGGCTAAGATCAGGTGACTATGGGGGTCCCTTAGTCACATGACTAAGTGAATCTAAGCCCTTCCACCGCATTAAAATCGAATGGCTCACATTAATCCAATTTAAAGAAGGACAACATAGTAACTACACCATTATTTAATTTTGATTGCCAATTAAAATAAATAAAAGATACAGTCTGCCGTGGTCGCTGGGACCCGCTCCCTTCTCCGACGGCGTGGGAATTTTTCGCAGGAGGGCACTGAGTCCCACCGCCAGTCCTTTTCTCCGGCGGCGTGGGAAAAAATCTCTGGCAGGGTGGACATTTTTCTCAGGAGTGGCCATTTTTTCCTAAGGAATTCTCTCGGTGGGAGGGGGGGGGGGGGGAGAGAGAGAGAGAAATTTTCGTCATCGGCGGAGAGGATTTTTCGACGATGAGAGATTTTCCGGCGACAACGTCGATTTTGTTATGTTTGTCAGACGCTTTTGTAATGTTTGTAAGTATATTCAGTGATTTTGTATCAATTTGGTTTGTATCGTTTATCATTCTAGTTTGTCACTTTTATCTATTATGTTTGTAATGTTTATATGACTAATTTGTATACATTGTAATTTGTAATGTTTGTTTGTTTGATTTTTATATACTATATGGTGTGATTTGTATACTTTGTATTCATTGATTTGTAATACAAGTTTACTGTTTTGTATTGTAAGTAGTGTGGTATTTTGTACAATTAGTATGTTTTGTAATGTTTGTCGGTCTAGTTTGTATTGTTTGTATAGTTCGTATGTTTCATATTGTTTGTAAATCTGTTTGTATGTTTTGTTGCTCTAGTTTGTATTGTTCGTATGTTTGTATGGTTTGTATTGTTTGTAAGTCCGATTTGTATACTTCGTAATTTTTCATTATACCCAAACTACTTCTGTCATTAATTAAAAAGTCATTCCCACTTTTTAACCGTCAGATTGATGTGTCCAGATCTAAGGGATGAGAGGGGCTTAGTCAAGTGACTAAGCACCCCCCTTATTCAGGGGATCCGGACCCCCTCTTCGTGAAGCGACATGTCCTTCTCCATACTTAAAATATTTTTGCACAATCTCGTGGCATGGCATGGCCTCTTACAAGAGGCACATGTCCCTCGTTGGATCATGCCCATGCTCATTAATTAATTTTTAATAATTAATGTGAGACCTTATAAACTCATTACTTATCTTGTAAAACATCAATGTGATACAAGACAAATTATAATGTAAACAGAAACAAAACGACAAAACCCTAATCCCACCAAACTATGTAGGATCTATAAGAGAATGTACACTCATGCCGACAACTCAATCATCAATATATGGCGCATGAACCAATCGGCATCGACAACTTATACGTACATGAATCCAAACTCGCCCGATTATACATACACCACACAACTTCCAACCTGAAAATGCTTTTTATTAATCAAATCATTATTCATCAAACTCATACCAACAACGACTAAATCATCAACTTATCCCTCTCAACTGCTTCAGAAATTAACCCAACAGTGAGCTCAAACTCGAAGAACCAAAAGTTTGATCACTGATGATTCTGGTAGCTTTCTCCCCGGGATGAACACTGTCCCAGAACAGGTACTTGCTAGCATCAGGGCAAGTACCTGGAACAACACAGAGTATCCCAAGCTCGATGTTTCCGGTGGCACAACAGCCTCTTTTCACCTCTTCAAACCCTGCAAAAAAACAAACCAGAAAGTGGGAATTAAAAAACCCGATCAATGTAAAAGCTAGCTAGCTAACTATGTGTGTCATCATTACCATACGGAGCTGGGTTCTGTATGAGGGAAAGCGCGGGGCTGTAAATGTCGAAGTACACAATCTTCGCTCCCGGAAGCTCTGCATTCAGCGAGGAAACAGCCGTGGAGAGCTTGGAGTTGAAGAGCTTCGCGGCGTCATTCAATTCCTCCGCGCAGTTCCTCTCCAGTATTAGCAGCCCGTCGCCGGTCACCCTCTCGCGAGGAACGCAACCGATTGGAGCCGCACCCACCACCCCGATTCTCCTCGCGCCGAGCCCGTAGAGCTCCTGCACAGTGGCGCATTTCGTCGAACACGTTCAGGGCAATGAAATCTGTGATCGAATTGAATTGAGTGAATGGAGACCGGATCGTCGAACCTTGTACACGTCCAGAGCTAATCCGACGAGGATATCAGTGTACGTATCGATGCCGTATAGGGATCTGCTGAGCTGGTTGGCCATGTCGTTGCTCCCTAGCAGGATCATGTGGGGACTTGTGGATGTGATGTTGCCTGCTCTTTCTTTCCCCTCGCTTGCAGTTATGTTGCTCTTGTACTCTCTGTACATCTCAAGCTGATTCTTTATTGTTATCGACCCCTGCTTGCACATTTTCAGCTAGTACCGGTAAGCACGTGATATTCGGATTTATTGGTAGACAAGGGTATGGTAGATTGGTGCAAATTTGTCGTTATTGAGACAAATACAATGAAATAAAGGTTATAAGTTGATCACTCTTTGTTGGGAGGTGAGAGGATCGTAACCAGCACCCGCGGAACCGAACGAGACACCGGTGAGAAGGTCTTTCATTTGCAGGGTCGGATCCTTATAAGCCGGTAACAGGTTCTTCACACCTAACGTTTCAGCTGATGGTGGAAAAGCAAAAAAAGGAGAAGTGTTATGAAACTAATGTAATATAAACAACTACAAGAGAAGATTAGAGAGGGAAAGACACAAAGAAGATAGGGGGAAGTGAGCTTTTTTATTCATTCTTAAGTTTTGATACAATGGTGTGCTATATTTATAGGCACACTTTGGTAACCACTACACCCTTATATCAATGCATATGAATGAGAGATAATGATGTAGAAATAGGGGTTACATGTAACTCCCAAGTGAGCATCTAATGTGGTAGGCCATTGGTCATCCATATATCAATATTTACATAATACTCCCCCTTGGATGACCACTAGACTGCATTACGCTATCTCATACTGCCTCGTTAAAAACCTTACCAGGAAAACCCATTGGGAAAAAACCATGGTTAAGGGAAAAAGAGTGCAGTGCGTATATGCTCCCCCTCATGACCACATCACTTCAGATTTTTGAGTCGTTGAACTCAAATTTCACGAACAACTTTTAGAAAGATTGTTGTCGGGAGTGAGTTAGTGAACAATCTTCTAGATTGTCAATTTGATGCATGATCTTTAGATTTTCTTCATACATGATCGTCAGGATCATTTCCTTTGGAAATAGTTCATAACCACAAGTCCTTTAGATATGGTGGATCACAAAGTGTAACGAAATACATTCAGGACTTGTCTATTATAGTTTGTTTTATTTCTATATATAATAGTTATATCACCATATGTACGAGATAGCTCGTCTCCGATCAACTAATATGAGGATCAAATGGTATTATAGGATATGAATATATAGTTCACCAAATATCTCTTTGATAATACCATAATAGAACAATCGCACATATTGTTCCCGGAGGTAACTAAGTATTTTCCAACGTTCCAACGAGGAAAACATTGTATCTTGCTAATATTATCAACACCAAAATGATATTTTATATGGTGCTTGGCTAGCAAGGTGTATTGGTGCTCTGATACATGAACATACGGTACTTCAGGACCTAATGTTTCACTTCTTTCTTGATTTCATAATGGATCTTTGGTCACTTCTAGTGATCTTAGGATCCTAATGTTATTTGATGAACACAATTCGTTCATGCAAAATTACTTTCCCTCTTTTTCAACATTACCTTCCTTGCCCATAAAAAGGATCTTAAATCCTTCAATTTAACTTATGTCTCTAAGCAATCAACATCTTTAGGAAGCTCTTCAGGAGCTCCAATAATCCTCATATCATCAACATAATGTGAGATCGTCACAAAAAAAACTTGACTAAAACAAATTGAAGCAAGCAATTCTTTCATATCATGAAAGATATTAACAAAACACACATCATAGAAACATATGAACTAGACAAAGCAGACTCATAAAACACAACTCATACTTTAAAGTAAATCACAACTTATAAATCAAGAATTTAAAATCCTTAAAGCACATACAGATAACACAACTATATATGCACAATGCAAATGCTCTAATGACTCTATCCGGATTTAACCTTTTAACGTCCATTCATCCTACTGTTGTAGGTGTTCACTTGGACGAGTATTTCACATTCGTCTATATTGTCTCAACCCATACAAGGGGTTTTCTTAGTCTATCGATATATGTTCTCGAGAACTTTACTTGTTTACTTCAGGTAAATTAATCCTTCTGGGAGTTTCAAATATATATAACATCTTCAGGGAATTCAAACAAATAGGCTATCACAACAATTTTCAAACATTGATTTGACAAAGTAGTTGCATCCACCACAGGGGAGTATAACTCCTCCTAAACAATGATAGGTCTCTTCGAGAAACCCATTGCAAAACATTATGTGATATATCTCACAATTTCATACTTTCCAATAGCACAAAAATTTGTTTGTATCCCGCTATTTTTGCCCTTTTTTAGGTGCAAGGACTTCTGGTCCTTAAACTTTATGCTCCTTGAGCAAGTTTCATGATTTCTTTCTATATTGGCCAATAACATCATCATTTTCATGCATCAATAGAGTTTTGCTCTTGATCCTCACTTGTATATATCATATTCAGTACTGAAGTACAACAAACAAATTTCATCGACAATGATTTCATTATGGTTCCAGTATTGTAGTCTAATATGGTTTTGAGATCTCTTCGCTTTCACAACTTTCAGAGACATGTGTTCTTCTGGAACTAAAATTATATTTTATTCTTGGTTACTCTTCTTGAGTTTTCATATCCTCAAGTTGACCATTCTAATTACAGCTCCTTTTCTTTCTCGAGGATGTTTATCATTGGAACCGATTCGTCTATCACGCTTCATGTGCTTTTTCATACACATTGTTTATATATTAGAGTATCCAACAAGGATATCAAATTTAGTTGGAGCATTCACAGCTAGTATAGGTGACTTGGTCACTTCGTATGGCCAGTAGAGGCATTTGATAGTTGGTAACGATAATTCATCTTATGAACTTCAGGTTCATGTTTCTTACTTTGAGGATCAAAACTAGACAATAGTAACTCATTCCAACTCATCTCTTTGCCTAGCTGTTTTATCTCTCCCCCTTAATGTTGGAAAAGTAATCCATCACAACAATAATTTCGCAAACAAATTTCCCATTTAGGATCAAACCTCAACACAAATTCTCAATCTCTAATGAGAATCAACTTAAGATACTGTGGTGGAGCAATTGGGATGTATGCGGCACACCCTTATATTCTCATATGGGAAATGTTAAGTTTCTGACCAAAACCATTTGTAAAAAGGGGGGAACTTATGATAACTTGTTGGTTAGATGTGAACCAATACTATCACTTGTCAGCTAGCATGTCCTCGACAAGAGACCAGAAGGCTCAGTTTGTTCTCTTAGCAAAGTGGTGTTTGATTGGATAACCATCAAAATGTATCCATAGTGAGGCAATCAATCTCGCAAACATCGGGTTGCGATTAGATAAAATAAAGTGATCATCCATTTGATGCAGCAACCCATCAAATTCATAAATGATCCACATGACTGATGTATTGTTCTGCATCCACGTCCATAAAATCTTAAGAGATTTGCCAACTCTTATACAAGCGATGATCAATTGTTCTATTCTCGTTGAGAACAAACATGACATGATAATTCTTTTAGTTGAAGAGTTCTTTGACTTCTCATATTATGTTCTCATGAATTCTCAAAGAATTTTTTTCTTTTTCACATCAAGATCCGGGATGGTCTAACCGGACCAACCAATTATCGAGTTATCAAATCCTGTAAACTTCTGGTTTACACTTTTATGTGTACTGATTGTACTAATATACATGTAGTACATATTTGTGATGCAAATATTAGTTTAACTATTTTCTTGATAAGATATTCATTTTACGAATATCCTTTTAATTGGGTAATGCATCATCACTAGGTAGTTTGGTTCCTTCAGGTCACAAAATTAGCTCCTTTAAAGCTTTATCATATTTTGTACCATATTCCACCCTTCCGGGGACTTATGATTTGATGCATTCTTAGTAAACACAAATTCATAGTGAATATCATCACAAAGTGTTATCACGAGTACATAATTTAGTTACTTCAAGTAACTAAACATAGGCTCTTCGGAAGTTTTTTCTTATTTATGTACTCTACCATATAGTTTATATGAAATTTTTCTAATACTCATACTTTATAAAAATATAATAAAAATAATAAATGAGAATATTTCAAACTTAAGACAAAAATGATAATTTATCAAGTTAATTGTTCTACATAAAGGTTATCAAATTAAATTATGTATGAAAAATAACGTCACAATAAAACATAAAAGAAATAAGAATCATAATACTACAATTGTGAAAATTAAATAAGATTTATTTGAAACAATACCATCACTAACTGGGTGATTTTAAATTTATTTCATTATACATTATAATGAACAACAGGTACATTATGTTATCATGACTTTGATAATGCAATTATGGTGTCATCCTTATTTATAATTCTCATTTTTCTCCTCTTTTCTCACTTCTGGTGAAAATATCCATACAATACATTTACCACATATATAATTATGTTTATAGTTTCATTCACTTCGGGGAATAAATTATTTCATTCACTTCTGGGAATGAAAATGTCTCAAGTGCAATATCATTTTCATCTTTAATGGAGAATATACCAACTTATAATACAAAAAAATATGTTCCATAATATTGATATTGCATCAGCATATTTGAATTTGCTCATCCCTTTGATTCTTGGTAGAATAAAGTCTTTTGCGTACAACGGGTACGAGACAAACACACTTTTCCATTACAATGGTAACATACCGAACCAATATTCTTATTATCATGTCCTTTTCTTTCTTTGCCCTTGAATTCTTCAATTTCCACTTCTGGGGAATATATGGGCTCTTGGAACTTGCATTTTTCACATATCAATGTATGATGGATAAGAATAGGATAACACTGAGAACTGAGAAATTAACTTATCACTTATATTACTTTTCTTGTTAAACCAAATAGATCGACGTGATAAAATATCAATGGATACGAGATGTAGCACCCATCTTGATATATTGGAATGAGATAATCTCAACACAAATAAGTCAACAAGATAAGAATGGATCTAAGAATTACATACCTTGATCATATTGTGATCTTACTCCAATATCTTAGATTATGTCGAGAGTCTTTGAGCCATGATAATTTTGGCAGAGCTTCGTGCTGATAACGTGTTATGAAACTAATGTAATATAAACAACTACAAGAGAAGATTAGAGAGGGAAAGACACAAAGAAGATAGGGGGAAGTGAGCTTTCATATTCATTCTTAAGTTTTGATACAATGGTGTGCTATATTTATAGGCACACTTTGGTAACCACTACACCCTTATATCAATGCATATGAATGAGAGATAATGATGTAGAAATAGGGGTTACATGTAACTCCCAAGTGAGCATCTAATGTGGTAGGCCATTGGTCATCCATATATCAATATTTACATAATAAGAAGTTAATATTTCGTAATAACCGGTTTGTTAGAATCCCCGCCCGAATAATGTTTCTAGAAGAGTACAAATTGAAATTTTAGATGACGACTATGAAAAGATCAAATATTGTTTTGAAAAGAAGAAGGAAAAAAAAAAACAGGCAATAACTCCTTATCATACTCGAAAACAAAATCAACTCGAATTTTGATTGTATAAAGATACAAATTGAACCACTAGAAATGTATCACGATTCGAGAAGTTGTAACGGACTATAAACCCCAATCACCTCCCCACAAACATTGCTAAAACATCACATAAAACGAAGAAACAGAAGGGAGATCATATTTGGTACCTATGAAGTCAGGGAAGAGTCTGCCATTGCTAAACCTTCCGGTGGGTTTCCCGCCGGGGAAATCTCTCCCATATGGCGGGAAGTTGCTCTTCGCAATGGTGACTACGTAGTTGTTGTTCCCTGTATCGACTAACGAATCCCCAAACGTGAACACTGCTGCTGGAACGGCGCCTGATGCTGCTGCAGTAACGTTGAATAGTAGCACAAAGCTTATCAGCTGAACAAGTACGGAGAGAATGCCATTATGTTTTGACGATCCGAGGATATCTCGAATCGTCTGATGAATACCCGACAAATTCATGAAACCAGGGCGATTCGAACTAGAAGAAGGTTGGGTTTTGGAGTAGGACAGGGTAGTGTGTGTTCATCATTTGCATACCAAGAGATGGAACTCTGCTGTATATATTCAAGAAGTATAAGGTGGTGTTGAGTGATTATTAAATGGTGGCATATAAATTTAGCAACATTAAGGTCAACTCTGGACATGAGAGGGAGTTCGCATAAGGTCGTCTTGTTTTGGATGATTTATATTTAAGGTCGTCTTATTGCAGCGGGAGAAACGTGGTGAGTATTAATATACACAAACAAATTAGAGGCTCCGACTCCCCTTTGCGTGCTTGCAAGCTGGGAACTCGTGGTGGTCAACTTTACGTACGAGTCAAAATAGCTTTGGCGAGTTGCTAGAAATGTGAATCCTACGATTCTTTTTCTTACTAGCTTGAGTCCAGCCAGTTGGTGTAAAGAATAATCTTTTGTGTTCAAATAAGTTGTTCATATCCGTTGACAATATTATGGCACATATGACATATGGTGCATTGTGATAGTATATATATATATAATTAGGTGGCGTATTCGGTGCACCCACTTTTTCGGGTGCACTCAGTGCACCTGCCTCATAATTGTCATTATGAGCATGCGATTCATGTCAAAACGGTATCAATTGTTGCTTATGATATTATGAACAAGAAGCACATTAATTTGAAAAAAATTCATTCAAAATTTACTTTAATTCAAAGGATTTAGAATTTAGGAATTTAGGGTTAGGGTTTAGGTTTACAATTTGGGATTTTGGGTTGAAATTCAAAATTGAAGGTTAAGGGGTTAGGGTAATAGATTGATTTGTTATGATTCTATGTTATATCATCATAATAGATTGAGAGTAGTAATTAAAGTTTAAAATTTGATGTATTACAGACACTTTTAGAGTTAAGTGAGTGCACCGAAGTAGCCACCAATTAATTAAATTATATTTTGTCTAGTTTAGTAACTCTGTAGAATAGGAATGTGTTAGTGGATTATTGTGGTACATGAAAATGGCGTGAACTATTTCGATACATAATTGAACTATAGTTGGATTATCGTGGATACCAAAGTAGAATCAACTCAATTGCATAAGGTAAAACACGAATGTTGGGAACGAAAACACAAGTACATTCAGATAAAAAAAAAGAACAAACACTGGCGCGAAATCTCATACACAACCAGTCGGCTAAGATGAATTCTAACTATATATCAAACCCGATCCATCCGACTATATACATATCAGTTCAACTGCAATATGAATATGCTTTTATTAATCAACCATTAATCATCGAGTTCATATACCACATGCAACAAGGACAAAAATCATCAAGTTATTCCTCTCAACTGGTTGTAGCTAGCTACTGAAATCAACGAAACAGGAAAGATGTATGATGGGAGAGATGTCTGCAAATGTATGCCGAAGGATCAATATCGAGGTGAGCAGAGTGCTACAGAATGTAGTTCGAGTCAACATGGCGAGTGACCACGAGCTTCAGAAACAACGTTTGTAACGCGATTGCTAAATTATGAGTCCTATAGGCAGAGTATTTATATCCACTAGTTTTTTGAGTCCTATAGGCAGAGTCATTTATATCCACTAGTTTTTTGACCCGCGCTTTGCGACGGTGAGAAATTAATTAGATTTAAAATTTTATTCACTAATTGAATGATTTAGTGGAGATAAAATAATTTACAAAGGAGTTGGATAAGCTTTACGTATTGTCTTAACTATTACGGAAGACTTACCTAATATATTTGTTTATCTGATACATATGAAATAACTTTTATTTCATATTTTTTACTTAGTGTATTTGTTATTTACATAACATTTATAGAATTGTGTTATGTAAATTTTCCGTAATGTGTGGTCCAGTAATCGAATTACGGATAAGTCTCACATTTTTTTTTTGCCATAGATAGATTGCAGATAGACAGGTGATTACAAGGAGTTGAAAAGTAAATAGCGGCAGTCAACCGAATGTCGAGCTGCCGGTGCAAGGGCCGTTTTTGCCACTAAATGGGCAGCCCTGTTAGTCCTACGCGAAGCAAAAACAAACTTAATGCAAACGAAGCTTGACTTCAGCAGTCTGATCTCCTCCAGGATTGCCCCACCGGTCTCATGGTGCACCTCATTCTCCTCAGCCCGTCGGATAACTAGTAGGGAGTCTCCACAGAAACAAACGTTATAATATCCATGATTAACGCACCAAACCATAGCATCACGAAGAGCAAGAAGCTCCGCAAGAAATGGATCGGTCAAACCTGGATAAAATTTACCATATGCACAAATCAAGGAAGAACCTGCTGCATACCCAACAAATCCCGCGCTGCCACCTGTGCATTTATTAAATGCCCCATCAAATCTAAGAAGGAGGCCTCCCGGGGGATTGGAAACAGGCGGGCTCGGCATAGGCTGCTGCCTCCCTGCCGTCGGGTTACGCGGCTGGCTGGCCATAGCGTCTTGCCACTCATCCACTTGGACCCGGAATTGGCGGTGGAGAGCTAGGGGAAGGTACTGCACATGGTCATGAACCGACCAGCATCTTCCTTTCCAGATGCGCCATACTAGGAAGACAACTTCAGCAACCTGCACTTTGGATAACTGGGAGTTAAAGAAAATGTGATGCCAGGCAGCATCTTGACTGAGTTGACAGACCGCCACCCGAATTGTGTCTAATCCAGCTAACTCCCATACACCCCGCGCTATCCTGCAAGAGAAGAAACAATGGGAAAAGGATTCAGCCCCTTCTGCACAAATCGGACATATATCCTCCTTACATAGTGTTTTCTGTTTAAGCACAACACACAGAGGGAGAAATCCCCGCACAAGGCGCCATAGGAAGAATTTTAACTTCGGAGGCACAGGCAAGTTCCACAGAAATTTCCAGAATTTGGAATCCAAAAGTACCGGGAGCGGATCAAATCCTGAAGAGCGATCGGCCGACAAGAGCTGGTAGCCGGACTTCACCGTGTAGATACCCGAGGTCGAGTAGTGCCAGATGAGGCGGTCCCGCATTGGAGCAGAAGGTAATGGGATAGACAGAATCCACTTGATGCTGTCCACCTGAAAGAGAGATTGAAGAAGCTCCATGTTCCAAGTGCGAGTAGCAGGATGGATGAGAGATGCGACATAGGGGTTTTGTAGAGTCACCCCAGGGAGTAGCTTCGGAGAGGAAGGAGGAGAGGAAGGGAGCCAGACCTGATTGAGGATATCAATAGCTGACCCGCAGCCCACCTGCCAACGAAGGCCCTTATTCAGCAGCTTCCGCCCTTCCAGGACCCCCTGCCAAGCCCAAGAAGGTCTTGTCCCCACCGCCGCATTGAGGAAAGAGCAATTATGGTGATAGCGCGCCTTGTACAACCTGCCTAAGGTGGACGATGGGTCATGTACGAGCTTCCACGCCTGCTTTGCGAGCATCGCAATGTTGAAGAGGTCAAAGTCCTTGAACCCAAGTCCCCCCTGAAACTTACTAACACAGACCGCAGGCCACGAGATCCAGTGGATACCGGACTCCTTGTCCTGCCCCGCCCACCAGAAGCGCGCCAGCTGACTATTCAAGCGACGGCAACTGGTAGAAGGAAGTCTAAAAGAAAGCATTGTATAAACCGGTGTAGCCGACCCAACTGACTTGATCATAACCTCCTTGGCTGCAAGCGAGAGGGCTTTTGATTTCCAACTCCGAATACGGGCAGCCAGTGCATCTTCCACATACTGGAAAGTTTGAACCTTTGACCGTTGAACCTGAGAGGGTAAGCCCAAGTATCTGTCCAGCGGTCCAATCGAGGAGATACCCAGCTGACCAGCAATCTGCGACGCTTCCAGAGAAGAAACATTAGCACTAAAATACACAGAGGACTTGGACAAATTTACCTTTGCCCCACTGGCCTGCTCATAGAGCTGAAGGAGGTGGAGAAGCGAGCTGCACTCTGGTCCGGAGGCCCGCAGGAAGAGGTAAGAATCATCCGCGAATAGGAGATGTGAGATTGAGGGAGCGCGGCGGTGTACCTTCAATCCATGGAGCTGGTTCGAGTTAACAGCTCCAGATATCATGGCGGAGAATGCTTCAGTGTACAGCGCAAAGAGCAAGGGGGAGAGAGGGTCTCCTTGACGTATCCCCCGTTCCGGTCGGAAGTATCCATGCTCAGTTCCGTTGAGAATCAGGGGGAAAGACACAGACGTGACACAAGCTCGGATCCACTTCATCCATTGATCATTAAAACCCAGTGCCTCCATAACTGCAAAAAGAAAACCCCATTCGACGCGGTCATATGCCTTTTCCATGTCGAGCTTGACCGCCATCCACTTCTCACGCCCCTGAGATTTAGTCTTTAGGAATTGCATAACTTCTTGCGCAATTAGGATGTTGTCAGATATGTCCCGACCCTTGACGAACCCATTCTGAGATTCACTAACAATCTCCGGCAAAATTGAGCTTAGCCGGTTAGCCAAGATCTTAGCTAGGACCTTGTAGAAGACTTGGCAGAGTCCAATCGGCCTCATCTGCTTCATAAACTCCGCATTGGGGACTTTGGGGATAAGGGTGAGCAGCGTGTGGTTTAGGTTGTGAAGCAAGCGACCAGACCGGAAGAAGGAGGTTGCCGCTGTCGAAACTGTGGGCCCAATTAAGTCCCAATAGGCTTGAAAGAAAGCCCCTGTAAAACCGTCCGACCCGGGGGCTTGATGAGGTCCTATGCTGAACATCGCCCTTCGGATTTTGGCAAGAGTGACCTGTTCAGTGAGGACGCGATTCTGCTCATCCGAAACCTTCCTAGGAAGTCCAAGAGCAGCAAGGAGGAAGTGCGGAGAGTTCCCATTTGACGAAAAAAGACGCTGGTAAAATGAGACCGCCACCTCGCCTTTAGCTTCCTCTTCGTAATAGACATTCCCGTGCTCATCCCTAAGGACTTCGATGAGGTTCTGCCGACGATGCTGGCGAACTTGGGAGTGGAAAAAGTCGGTATTGGCGTCTCCCCGATGCAGCCAGTTGACTCGAGACT